GATTGAAGGCTGTGGTCGCGTTTCGGACCTCCGTTTCTGATGAAGATCCTAAACTAACCGTCCTTGGCTCATCCTGCATCACCTGAGTTGGAAAAGTTTAGAAGCAGAGGGCTAGGTGAACTAATCTTGAAAGTATTCTGCCTAACGAGACATACGGCGCACCTTATTGCGAATCAGAGCACCCGCGCTGTCTCTGATTGTCTCGCTGAGTCCTGGTTTGCTTGGACCAGTGGTGCGGATCAGATAAAGGAGCTTGCGATAGTTCCTTACCGCTCCCGTTTCCTCTATTTCTTGAATCCGACTGGTCAACTAGGCTTTCTGTTCAGCGCGTAGGTTCCGTTTTATTTCGCGACTAATAGTCCGTCTGGTTACATTGTGTTCAGATCCAGCCGGGAGGTTTATTCTGGATTCCAACAGGTTCACCGACCTCTCGGACATCCAGTGACTGGTGCGGTGACGATTGATAGTGCCACAAGCAGATGCCACTGTGTCGTTCATGACGGGCGAGATCCTATCCGACTGAAGCTCAGTTTCATCAGGACAAAGAAACGAAAGTTCGGTACGCAATGCAGCTTGATAGGCTAGCTTGTCCGAGGGTTGGGATAATTTCTCAGTTGTCAATCAAGAGAGACGCTTGGTGGGACTCCCGATAAAGTTCATTATCAGAGTCGACGCAAGTGCTCCAGAATGAGCGACAATCCAGCATGGAACCACGCCACGTGTAACTTATGGCAATGTGATGTATTTGGGTCCATCGATGACAAGCTACAGGAAGACGCCAAGGGGTACTTCGGCGCCCACTGGGTCTGAAAGCAGTGATACTAGGAAACAGCTGGTGCTTCGCACATAGTTGCAACAGAAGCACGCCGTTGTCCGTACGGTCGGAGTTAAACCCATAATTATCATTTAGGTAAGCTACTGAAGAGCCCAGGCGACCTATTTGTGCATTTATATCTCCAGCAGATAGTATGATATCTGAACTGGTAGCACTGCGTAGTAGCGTGTTCAGTTTGTAAGATCACAACTACTCATTCGGACAGGCGTAATACATCCGAGAAAGTAGTTGGCTGCCATTCCGTACTTCTAAGGCCTGCTCTAATAGTGCGTGTTCCTCCAGTTCGACTAGAGATGGAATCCAAGATCTTTCACTTGCCAGGCAATACGACCGGAAGAAGAGCACAGGGATTGCTCACTGTGATGGATAATGAAAGTGTGGACTAACTGCCCGACAATTTTGCCTAGTGTTGTGTGTGAGCACGTAAATAGATAGTTGTGGTTCTGGCCCTCCATCGATCAACATGAGTTTTCTGTGTGGCCCTCCAGTACAGTGTTTCGCTTGTGTGACACACCCACTTGATTTGTGGCGAATACGTGGATGTGAGAAATTTTGTCACTACTTCAACCGATATGATGAGTGTGATCCGCTTGGCCGTATGACTACGAGTCGTTAAACAGTATCAAGAACGTCAGTTCGACCATCGGTGCCTTCGCACTTTGGCTCACATCTGGGGGGAACCGCGTGAGTAACGAGCGTGTTCGACACCTTGTTTACGGCACAGAAAAAGGAAATGAACCGCTCAGCACCATCATTTCACGCACCAGGCTCTGATTGCCGGGCCACGTGTTACGCATGCCAGCCCATCGACTTCACGACGTGCATTGTTTGCTCACCGGGGATGTGGATGGAAGAAGAGGGGCGGCCAAGCGATGACTCGGTCCAGAGGAAGGAAAGCCCTTACTTCGGAGCTGGCCTCGGTTGGAGCGTCACGGCTCCCTGGTTGGGGTCCAAAATACGGTGAACACGTTTGGCTGGATACACTTGCTGACATGGCAAGGAGCCGACCTCAGTGGCGTTACTGCTGTGAGTTTCTTTTTCCCTTACCATCCCTTTTAGCCTCCTCCTCCACTTACGACCTCATTACGTAGCGTAAAACATAATAATTTTTCGTTATGCCTAGTAGCCGGCTGGTAGCTTACCGGAACGATGCCTATCCGTTGCTGGTAGCTCAGTTGGGATGCAACTGTTGTTTTTGTTTTTCTTTATGTATTGTGGCACAGTAGCTGAGGCGTTTCCCACCTCTAGCTGACGGGTATACTGATGAATGATGATCAGTAAGGTCAGCACATCGGTTCGAATTGAACTGATGCCATAAAGAACAAAGGAATGAGAAATGACAAGATAGGAAGTAGATGACTTACTGTCAAACGAAGGTGCCTTAAATAAGTAAGCATTCAGAACCAACGCGCGTAGACTTTGTCAACATACCACAAAAAATAGCTGGCAATCGTACAAAGATAAGGCGGCATCCGCGAGACAGCTTTCTTGTGGCTTTCGCTGCACCGCGTCACAATCAGCCGTTACCCCACAGATATCCGATCACTAAACACACCTTAAAAAGCAGTCCGACTAGACGGCAACAGACACGCCAATGTTGTCAATTGTAAGCCATCTCCTGTAATTCCTCGAGGCAAACACAAAGCGGATCACGTGAACTCCAACCTGGAAGGCGAAACGGACCAATGGCACCAAGTTTTGTAATCAGTGACTTCATTTCCTGCTGCTGAAGTTAATGTTTGCCCTCCTCCTCAGCAGACAAAAGAAGGCCCTCCCGGGTAGATGGTGACGAGCATATGCAACCCGTCACAGAGCCAACGCAACTTGCTCGGCGCGATTGGTTTGTCGGTGAGAGGAAAATCTCCCTGGAAAACGCATTAATTCGCTGAGAAACGGTTCAAACCAATGATGTACAACCGAAACATCAAGTGGTTTCAGGAACGTTCGCGTCCATGCGACGGGCGCACCAACCTTCTCATTAGCTAGCGGAACGGATCTACTAATCAGGACAGCTGACTAGCTGTTCTGATACGTGAACCTTCCTTGGTTGATTTATAAAAATGCTCGTTTATTTCACACTACTTCTACCCGTTTCGGTAGTTGGTTCCGCAACACGCTTTTGCCTCCAAGTGTTGACTTCCGATTTTCGCATGGGGTTGTTCGGAGCTGACAGGGAATAAATCAAAATCAACTGGAATCGCCAGACAAAGATAGATCATAACAGTTGTTCGAAGGAACTAGCTTGATTATCACTGGTTAACACTCTCATGCGCACATCGTCGTTGCGGACACACTTAAGCCCTAATGATCAGCCATTCGAATAGCTGGGCAGAAGAGGCATGCGGGAGATATTTCAAGGGAGAGGTCACATTATCAAATGAGGCGAATTTACGCATCAACTTACATCGAAAGGAGAGGAGTTGAAGCTACGCGGCAAGCATAGGTTGTGTGCTAAAAACAAGTTACCACAGTCTCGTAAAATCCAATTTTGTTCCTATGTGAGATTTAAGTGGTTGGCTCACTGTGTGTGGCGGGGTACAATAATAATTCTCGTAAAGACTGCGATTTGTTTTCATGACAAACCGCAGGCATTCGATAAGGGAGATCTTTTTCTTCACTTCAACTCCCAAAACTACATCCCACGTCCAAAGCGATCGAATAGTGAAAGGCGTTCAGTCTCTATCGGATTAGAGTTATCAGAACAAATGTTAGCGAACAAGCTCGTTTTCAGTGGTTCCTCATCAGGCTAATACACCACAAATGAATGACATGAACATAAACATCAGCTAAGGGTACGGATTCAAAACCCAGATGGTCTGAGTGACCAAGGTAGGTGATTGGCCTCACGGCGATCAACAGTGTGTGTGTGTGTGTGTGTGTGCGTGTGTGTGGTGTTGTCCACACCGTGTCCGTGCTACAAGGGACCAGGGTAGAGTTAGCGCCTGGACAAATTTTTTATGCGCACATAGGTCAGGGTCATGAAGCCTGATGGCTAATTGCCTCGGCCGCTGCCAGTAGACGACATCTAACCGCTCTTTGTGGCATCTAGGTACGCGGTAGATGGACTGGAACTCGTTATGCGCTCTGACCTGGTGGCTCGAGTCGATCACGTGTGTAGACACTGCGCTTGCCACTGATCTAGTCACGCCGCTATACAGCCATGCTGGATAGTGTTTCCTGGCTCTCTCGGATAGGCTATGGTAGTTCTTCCGATATATCGATCGACACGAGCAAGAGAAATAGTATATATCGAATGAAGTATTTGACCTTGGAATTCTGTCTTTAGGTTGTTACTTCAGGGTCGGCACTGAGCAGAAGCTTAGCCGTAAGCTAGCTGCATAGTACGTTTGAGCGATGGCGTCAGAAAGACTTCTGAACGTCGATTCAGCTATCCCGTCCCCGTTGAACGATAACGATAAGTAGATCGGTTTCTTTCCTACTGAAACCACTCGCTTTCGCTTGTCGTACTTCGATGTTTCTCCGAACCAACCTCTCCGGATAGTTATTTCTATTGAATAGGCTTCGTACAAAGTTTAGCTCATCCGAAAGCATGTCCTCGCTACATATCCTTCTTGCTCGCTCGGTCAGGCACCGAACAAGTTTGCGTTTCTGGCTGAACGGAACGAAGCTGGCAAAGTAAGTATATTGCCCATTCCACGTTGTCTTTCTTGGGACACTGTGCTGGACAGACCCGTCAGATCTTCGGTTAATCTGAACGCTTAAGTACGACATTGAGTTGCTGCACTCAGATTCAAGGGTGAATTTTATGTTTGCGTGGGCTGAGTTAAATTCTTCCGTGCAAAGATGACTATCTGAGATGCAGAATATATCGTCCACATACCGTCCGTAGTAGACTAGTTTGTCGATAACTCCGTTTAGATAACTGTTCTCTAACTTACTCATGAATGCGTCTGCTAACAACGGTCCTAACGGAGAGCCCATTGTGACTCCGTCCTTCTGTCTGTAGATGTTCCCGTCGAACAGGAATTGTAAGTTCCTGGTACACATCAGAAGAAACTTTAAGTCGCTCGTTCGAGAAGCCGACATCCACACGGAGGTACGCGAAGAATCCAAGGGATAAAACCGACCATGGTATGTTATTTTAAGGGGGAGCATCACAGTGTGCATTTCGTTTGAAAAAAGAAACGATAAGATGGCGACATACCTTCAAAGTTGTCTTTCGCCGTTCCTCGGCCAACCGCTTGGATTCCAATTCGGCTTCCTCGGCCAACTGATCTGCTTTGTGCTTCGCCTGCAAAGTGACACGATCACATGCTCTGACGAACACGGGTTTTAATTTGGGAGCGATTTCATCCTCCGAGCTGGTATACTCTTCTTCGGAATACTCCAACTCCTCTTCGTCATCCGCTTCCTGATCATCGCCCTCTTCACCCCAGCCTTCGGCTTTCTCCTCTTCGGTCATCAGACGAGCAGCAAGCGCCTTGCGACGAATCAGCTGCAAGTCACATAGAAAGATGATTACCTTCCAGGAAATTTGTTGAATACCCATCAGTAGCTAGCTGCCCTACCAGCAGCTGATTGGAGCGGGGGGCTGAAGCCCATGGAAAAAAGGGTGTTGAGTGAATAGAATGGAATTTCAATCTAACCTATCAGTGTTCTCAGTTTGGCTGGCATCCTATGGATCGTAACTTTTGGATGGCAGCCGACTAAGTGTTCCAAAGTCAACTCAGCGATGCGGCCAGAGTTCCTAAACGTTTTATTAATCACCGAATTCAATGTGTGAATTTCCACCACAAATAAACGCAGAATGTGAGCAAAAGTGCAACCAGTTTGTCACAGTAATCCTATAGACCATCAATATGAAGTCAATCGGCCGTTAGTATTGATATGTGAACAGCATTGACCGAAGCGGCTCTGTACCATTTGACGAGTTGAAACTACCTGTTTGGCCGTCTGAAAGAGCTAGATAATCACTGAATTTATCAGAGAGATGATCGGCATGATAAAGGGCACGCGAAACGACATTATTAATAGCTGCTCTTATCACAATTGTTTGTTTGGGATGTGCAGCGAATAAACTGAGGCTCGAACTTTCAAAGTATGAAGCTCTCTCACAAGTGAAGCCACGGCGAATGTTCAACTGTACCATGACGAAGCGGTGAGCAACGTTCTGCGGCGAATCGCATAACCTCGAAGCCAATCGAAAGCACAACCATCTGTCTGTTTCCAATAGTTTCCCCCCGGATGCATGTGGAGGGTTAATTGCCTGCGTGCCTCTTGAGATAGCCGTTCCTACTCAACAATAACCAATGCAAGTGCCTTCATGAGTTAAGCAAGTTGAGAGATTATAAAATCATTCATCCATAATAATCTGATAGTGAGTCGCAGAATCGTGATCCTGTCTCTCAACTCAACACAATTACCGCTACATTAGATCCATCTATGTAATCACTATAGATGTCATGCACCCGATTTCGTTCACGCCGTTATGCGCAACGGCTAGATATGTCGCCCAAACAGATTGTATGGTGAACACCAACAGCAGTACAGAAAGCGACAGAGTAAGGGTGTAACCAAAGAGGTGACCTTGCCACAGAAGTGTGATGATGAACTAATTGTTACATCCCCTAAGTTATATCACTGCAATGAGTCGGATGTAGGCGGGAACGAATGCACAGGATCTGCAAGCGCACTAACTAATCACTTGTCCGCCATACTTATCCACTTCAGGCTTAGTCTGTCACTTAAAAATCATGGAAAAGATAAGGTAAGAAGATTGAAACAAGCTATGTTCGTAGTTCGGATAGGGTGGTGCGCAGTGGGATGAACTGCGACGATATGGAACGTCATACCTGTCCCTACCTGCGGCCAAACAGCCTTGTGGCACGATGCGAATTGACATGACATTATTAGGACACTATACACTCTAAGGTGATGACCATTTGTTTCTCGAGGCACGAGTGTCCAATTTGACAACTTCAGTGAACCACAACAGGTTAAGGGAAAAAGGAAACATGCGGTCGCTCTGGCACACAAACACCGTCTGGCAAAAAGCAATTTCCAACAGTCACATCGGTGAGAGTGTTTGTCGATCGGGTAATCGTCATGATAAAGTGGTTGCTTACGCCACACCCAGTGGATTCTCCGTAAACGTGAATCCACGCGCTAAAAACCTTCCTTACGACTGAAGGATAAGATCAAGCATTAAAAGTGCTCTGCATTGACGAGAGTTCACCGCTTAACCGAAGTATCACCCACAGAGCGTCCACAGCACGGTTCATCCTCTCTCTATTGCTGTGCTTTGCGGCTGTTGGGTAACAATTAAGTCAGCACTGTGCTCTATACCGGATGACATCGAGCTGCAATTTGCAAGAAGCAAAATTATGGATAGTAGAATCTCTTGGAAGTGTTTTCCGAGGGATACGCACAGAATGGAAAGGAAAAGACAAAAATACAGGCCACCAACAAGTGAAACCTCAAACGTACTTCTCTCCGACGGATCAATTCGGCTTCATCCATCTCCTGGTCGTCATCCTGCTCGTCCCCGGAACGTTCGGAACTCTCTTCGCTGTGCTGACCGATGCGCCGAAACTTCTTGTGTCGCGCGACCCGATCATCAGCATCCTCATCTTCGCTGCTTTCGGAGAGCTCCTCCTGCGGGTGATCAAAGGAGGAGTACACCGTTATCAAAAAGTGGGAAAAATCTGTGAGATGGATAAGGGCGCAATAAGCAGTGCCTACGAAAAGCCACAAATGCACCAAAGAGATCATCGGTTGCCGGTGAGTAACGATGTTGAAGTTCGTTATTTATTATAATAAACCCTCTCGTGTTCTAATGTTTTCGTCCCATGTGCTCCGCATCCTTGTGGACCGGCTACCTCGGTGTGCCGTGATTACGCCACTTCGTTTGATTGTGTGGGACGCTGAAATGGTCACTTAGACGAACGAATATGAAGACACTTGACGAAAAGTTAAATGAGGTTGGTGTATGTTCCCTCCTGCTGGAAAGCCGGAGAATGGCTTAACCAGACAGGATCGTCATCAACAACGAAATGTGATTACGATCATGAGAGGCGCATTTGATATTATCCTTCTTACACTGCCCCCCCTTTTTGGTGAATCCTTCCACCTGTCTGTTTGTGTGTGTGTGTGTGTGTGAAACACGCCGTTCGTTTCAACTGGCTTATCGCGCAGGTGTTCTCTTGTGCCCGTTCCCTCCTCACTCCCTCTCTGGTGTTAAGATGATCGTCATTTACCAATGATAAAACTTCATACCCGCTATTTTTATGTACAGCTTGTCTATTTATTTGACTAATGATTATCAGTTATCTTCCTATCAAATACTCCACCTGAACAACATTCACCACTTCTGGACTGTGATCTGACCAAAAGCCTTGTTGGAATGAAATCAATTGTGATCGCATCAACGGTTTTATGAAAGAATGTTTATAGTATCAGTTCGAAAGTCCTTTGTACATTATGATCGGACCAGTTTCGCTTATAACTTTCGCACCCTGTGGAAAACATGACTTAAAGGTGTGGAGAGTAATCCGAACACCCAATGATTGTGATTTGCCTCAGTAGGACCTTGACCGCCTCTCCACGTGGTCTGCAGAGGTCAACCTTCCGATCAGCCCGGTCAAGTCGCAATTCGTGAGGCTGGGTAAGGGTGAACACATTCGAACATACACGGTGGCTGGTCAACCGTTGCATCCCGCACCTATTGTGTGCGACCTCGGTGTACTCTCACGCTGTGACCTAAAGTCCATGGACAATACGAATAGGATTTACCAAAACAGCCTTCGCATGCTTTGGGCGCTCAGGCGCAGCTTCAGCACTCAGTCCGAAGAGATTGCCACTCGCCTCTTTGTCTCAATAATACGACCAATGCTAGAGTATGACTGTTCCGCGTATTGTCCTATTACCCAGGGCGAGGTAGAAAAGATTGAGCGAGTGCAGCATGTAGCCACCAGGCTGATTCCCAACTTACATGATGTGCCGTACGAAGACCGATGTAAGAAATTACGGTTGTACACCCTAGCTTATCGTCGAATGCGGGTTGACCTCATCATGACTCACCGAATATTACATCTGGGTGATTACCCTATGTTGAGACCGTTGCATCATCTGCGCAAACCAAGCAGCACACGAGGACACCTGTATAAACTTGCCGTACCGGATTTGAAGTGGGTCGCTCACCCACTATGTTTCGAACGCAGAGTGGTGAATGTATGGAACGACCTACCACAGCACGTAGTAGAGGCAAAGTCAGTGTCGGAATTTAAGAATTTCCCGGACAAACACTTTGCCGACGCAAAATATATCGAGCGAAACCCAATAGAACGGGTATTTGTCCATGAGTGACGACTGATGCAGCTACACAGAGCAAGCTCTACTCGCTGCTTCTAACCAGTATTCAGTGGTATTGTTACTATCATTATTAATAGTGGTGCATTAGTAACTCAAACTGTCACTACGTTGCTGCACAACCATAGATACCTTGGCAATGGTACTTAAAAGAGAAAGGAGGGAAACCTGATGTGAAATTTAGGCGCCCTATGCAAACATTCAGTGGCTAGGTACCTGCACCTTGCCAACAACACACGGTTACAAATAGCAAAATAGCGTATGAAGAAATGGTGGTATCTGTCAGGTGGTTCCCTATTAGTTTTCACTGTTCCTGTGTCATAATCAAACTAACTCCACAGTTAACACCGCATCAAATACACCTGCTGTCAGATAAGACTGGACAACTTGCTCTGAGTGTTGTTGAATCGGATCGTCTTCTCGATCGGAGTCCACGCCATTCGAATTGTGCTCGAGGTTCTACATAATATGGTGCGTAATCGACAGCAGTGGCGCATCTGATGCTGTCTCCTAGTCAGATTGTCTGTTTAAATCATGTACTATGCCCATTCATACATTGGAAGATAAAGAGGAGTTGCTGCGAAGAGATCTCTTTTCGAGAATTCTCCTCATACATTCACAGTTATGAGAAAACTTGATACAACAGGACAAACTATCTAAAGCTGCAGTAGTGACTGGTTAGGTCACAGTTTAACGGAAGGTCAATGAGCCAATCGATAGATAAGTCAATGCGAGCAGGTAGTAAACATCACACGCTTTCAAACCCCAAATGCTGAAATCCAAAGATAACAAGAAAGAACTGGTTCGTTTGGTGTCAAACTTCACAGTTAGTCCTGGGTGAAGGTAGGTACGGACGGCGTCAATTGTTTCGGCAAAGGAGGCGTGAGCGCTTGTACAAGCGTCCTCTGATTGCATAACTCCGGTTGCAACAGCGTGATAGCCATTGCTTCCGAAGTAGCCAACAGGCGCTTCCTGAGTCCTTTTGAGTTGCGTTTAGACACGGCGTAAAGAACTTTGAAAGCGTCATCGGTCCGAACATGATGCCCCGTACTAATCAGGTGTTCAAGGACGGAGCTATGGGCATTCTTAACTGTACCGTGCCGTAAAGAGGCGGGACAGTGTTCCGCTATCCTCTTAGACAGACGTCTGGTCGTGTGTCCGAGGTACCTGGCACATAGGTGCAGGTAAACTGATATACAACAAAAGATTCGGAACGAGCCGGGAGTTTAAGGTTTTTACTGATAAACGGAACAGTCTCAGAAAGAAGATGGACTATTGCAGCCGGATTTGTTTTGTTCACAGCGACGGACAATCTTTGCTTCAGTAACACGTAAGCGATATCTTCTTTTAAGGAAACCAAAATGAAAAGGTCCTTTTTCTTTAACGTCGTATCTCTTCAGGTTGATCAGAAACAGCAGAATGTTTGTGGATAAATGTCGTGGGATAACTGTTGTTTTGTAGCGTTGTGAGAATGAAATTCTCCTCGGCATCCGATGTTTATGGATTGCAGATTTTTGCGGCAAGATAGTAAAGACAACGCACAAGTTTTCTCTTGTATTCCATGAGCACAAAAGTAAAGAAATGCGTGTACTTGCCCACCCACATAGACTTGCAAAATACTTTCCTCTCAAGGAATCCGTCAGCTCGCCGCCGCTGTAACACTTCCAAAAATGTGATTTCACCGTCGTTCTCTATTTCACAAGTGAATTTTAACGATGGATGCACACGGCTGAACTGGACAAGTAGGTGGAGGTGATCAATCTGTGGGTCTCATCCGTTGAACATGTCGTCCATGTATCGTCGATGAAAATCAAGAGAAGCGATAAGGTTCCAAATAAGGCCGAGCTTAATTTTTGCGGGGAAAAATTAGGCAAGTGGTTCTAAAGGAGACCACACTGCAAATAAGCCAGCTCGGAGAACACTCGCATATCCTCATTCACAACATCGTCTATTTGTCGGTAGTATTTTCCATCGAACAAGAATCGTTTGTTAAAGATGCAACAAAGAAGTAGTTTCTTTACTCGTTGGACCGGAATACCGATGTCAATGTTGTTTTCGGTTAAGTGTTCGCAAATGATGTTAACAGTTTCTATCAAGGGAACATTCGTAAAGAGTGCTTCTACGTCGAAAGAGAGCATCAGCTTGTCCCTCACAATCAGGTCTTCTACCTTTTTAACAAAATCAAAAGTATCATTCACAGTGTGGACCGGTAGTTCTTTACATAGTGGTTCGAGTAAGTCAACAAGCTACTGTAAATGCGTGAGGAGAATTGCCTAAAAGAGATCTCTTCGCAGCAACTGCTCTTCATCTAATGTCTGCTTAAAGTTGCTAATAGGCACTTATCTGTAAGATAATGGCTAATTTTGAGGTTTGGCCGTTAAAGACGCAAACAAGCTGCCTCGCTGTTGTCACCTTATTCTCACGAGATGTCCAGCTGTTTGTGATCGTGTGTTGTTGATAGTGTGGACGGCACACCGTACCGACGCTTCGTTGCCGCGCGACCACCACCAGTCGCGCGTGGGCTGAGTATATCGCGAGGACGCCCACACTCCTACGTGGATTCAAACCGGTGACCTAAGGATGGCAAGCCAGGTGTGTAATTCTCACAGCCATCGGCTGAGGTTTAGGTTTTACACTAAGCTTTTTTTGTTTCCTTCGTATTATTCTTCATTCCCTAGATTATTGTGGATGCACGGCTAACGATGATGACAATGGATCAGTCACTCAATAAGCCACGTAGTAATCCTCGATTCTTAACCACGATTGTCAGGGAATTTTAACAGTTTTTGTTCACAAGTTTTGAACTGTAATTATTGTTATCGTGTAACAGTTTGAATCAAACAGACCTCATCCACTGAGGTTCGGTGCATCGATTGTAGAAAGTGGAAATGCAACGCGCCGATTCGCAAAACAGCGCTTGGCAGCAGACCCTCGAGGAGATTGCCATTGTAAATGCCAAATTAGGCCACGCTCTTCGTACGATTGTCAACCACACAACACAGCTCGTCGTATTCCCAAAACAGTCTGATCATGGGAGGCAAAATTTGAGTAAAGAATTCTTTTCGGTAATTCTCATCAAACTCAAACATTACATGGTGAGGAAAAAGTGCTAAATGTGCCGGATTAGGCTGCGTATTGAACAGAATGTTTAATTTCACGGGTACAAATCAATAAATCACGGGGTCATTGTAGGTGGCAAGTATGTACAGGGGAAATCACATCCGAAGTTGTAAGCCACGGTAGAAGTAAAGGACGTACAAACTGTTTTTGTACGCACAATTCTGGCT